ACCATTGTCTCCGTCTCTGCAACATGCCATACCAAATCATAAATGGTGCCCTCCCTGTCAACGCAAATAGGTGGGACCCACCACCGTCATCTCCGAGCTCATCGACCTCGTCCGCAAGATCAACCCGACCGATGAACCCGGTCGCATCACCCTCATCACGCGTTTTGGCCACGACAAGGTCCAAGAACTCTTGCCCCCCGTCATTCGCGCCATCAAGGCTGCCAACATTACCGTCGCCTGGGAATGCGACCCCATGCACGGCAATACGCGCAAGGCCGACGGTGGCATCAAGACGCGCTCCTTCGATCACATCCTAAAAGAGCTTCTCACCACCTTTGACGTCCATCGTGACGAGCAATCTTGGCTTGGTGGCATCCACTTTGAGCTGACCGGTGACGACGTCACCGAATGCACCGGTGGTTCCACCGGCCTGCGCGATGCGGATCTGGCCGCCAACTATGAATCCTTTTGTGACCCACGCCTCAACTGTCACCAGAGCCTTGAAATGGCCTTTCTCATGGCCGAACGCCTCAAACAGGTTCGCCACCATTCGACTTGATAAGCGACCCCACTCCTTTCGGAGAAATGTTGGTGTGTGCAATTTGATAAAAGTTTCAATTTCCCGTCGTCTATGAGCCTTTTTATGTGCGGATCATAGTATCAGTGTTTGTCAAGACCGTGAGTGTGTGTTGATGTGCATGAGTTTGGATGTGCACTCGTCTTGGAGTATGTGTGGGCTTGTGAGCTTTGTGATACCCGCCGTCATCTGTGGTGTGACCGAGCTGGCGGCATGTGTGCCCAAATGGTGATAGATGTCGTTCCTCGAACCGGAGAATACAATGGAGAGAGTACTTTGGGCTGCACGCCCGTGCCAATTGAGACCCAACCATTCATTGATCGTGCAGAACTGGCGTTGAAAGTGAACATGGGGGGTTGCATTTTCATGCTTTTATTTTTATCTTTTATTTTTTATTTTTTATTTTTTATTTTTTATTTTTTATTTTTTATTTTTTATTTTTTATTTTTTATTTTTTATTTTTTATTTTTTTTTTTTTTTTTTAAATTTTTGATGTGGAAGAGCTAATCGGACAGCCGGAAGTGCGTATAGTCAAGTATCAAGAAGCGAAGCATGTTGGCCTGTTCAAGCCTTAACAGCGGCTATGCTCAAGAAACTTGAGACAAGCATCGTCTGACCATCTGGATTTTACAACATACATGCTAAGAAACACGAAATACCCCTGAATTACTACGACTTCAAAATATCTATCCTCCTCGCAATTCGTGTCAAATCTTGGCAGGACAAAGATGGCAGCCCGAGATTGTGATGAGATGTGGGCCTTTGCAATGCCAGTGTGGCGTGAAACGTAGCTGGATGCCATTATAATGGAAAAGGGACCAACAGAAATGGCTATCAGATGTTAATTCAATCACCTCTGCTATTTGCCCCGCCGGACGTACATGCCCCATTACGTGGGTACACGTCTTATCGAACAGAGTCATCTAGATAACAGTCTTGCGTCGCTGGAAGCCTGCTTTGCCACGGCTCGTAAACTCGTGCAGCACATTTTGCAGCATCGAGAGGCCGTGCACATGGTCAGTCAAGATGGATTCCGGATGAAACTGAACGGCGGCCAGGGGCAGCGTGCGATGCTCAATCGCCATCACGACCCCGTCCTCGCTCACCGCCGTCACCTGAGGGTCAAGGCCAAGAAACGTACCACGCGTGAGTGAAGGGGAGAAAAACACGAGGAAAGAAAAACAAAACATAAACACACAAAATGTACAAGAACAACACAAAAATTCGCAGCCAACACGTCCCACAAGGAAATGCTGACCTTGAAGTTCTTCGTGGGAACATCTTCCACACGTGCATAAAGGGAGTGATAGCGGGCGACCGTGAAGCGGCGTGGGAGGTCCTTGAAAATGTACGAGCGCGGTTCCACCACATCAATGGCTGTAGGCTTGCCGTGCAGGGGATATTGCAACACGTCAAGCCGGCCGCCAAAGTGCTCCACCATGCCTTGCAAGCCCAGGCACACGCCAAAGGTGGGGATGCACAGTCGCATCAGCAAGGCAATTTCACCCGACACGTTGAAGTCGGCTGGGCAACCGGGACCTGGTGAGAGCAGAGCCATGTCCGGGTGAAGTGCTTGCAGCTCGGCTGGTTGAAAGCCCGTGCGCAGCGTCATCACCTCGGCCCCCGTTTGTCGCAGGTAATTGGCCAGCGTGTGCACAAAAGAGTCCTGGTGATCAATCACAACAACGCGAAGGCCAGCACCAGCGCGTCGCTGCTCGCCTTGATACGCTGAAAGGGCCTCTGACATGTCCTCGGGCGCCACACGCAAGACATCCAAGAACGCCGAGGCTTTGAGGCGCGTCTCCTGCTCCTCCTTGTCCGGTTCCGAATCGTACAAGAGAGTGGCCCCCGCGCGTACTGAAGCCACGCCGTTGTGAATTTGGATCGTGCGCAAGGTGAGGCCCGTGTTCAAAGAGCCATCAAAGTGCAGAGCTCCCACCGCACCTGCGTACCAACCGCGCGGCGACTCCTCCATGTCCTCGACAAACTGAATGGCCCAAGGTTTGGGGGCCCCCGTGACGGTCACGGCCCAGGTATGGCATAAAAATGCATCCAGGGCATCAAATCCTTCACGCAGCTTGCCCTTGACGTGATCCACAGTGTGGATCAAGCGTGAGTACATTTCAATTTGGCGGCGGCCCACCACCTTGACGCTGCCTGCCTCGCAAATGCGCGACTTGTCGTTCCGGTCCACATCCGTGCACATGGTCAGCTCCGACTCTTCCTTGGGGTCGGCCAAAAGGGTCAAGATCTGCTTGGCATCCTCCACGGGGTCACGCCCTCGGCGGATCGTGCCGGAGATGGGGCACGTCTCCACCTCATCACCTTGCACCCGCACGTACATCTCGGGCGAGCCGCCCACCAGATACTCGTTGGAGCCCAAGTTCATGATGAAGGTAAACGGTGCCGGGTTGCCCTTGCGCAAGCGACGAAACAGCTCCGACGGAGGGCACGGCAATAGCGAGTAAAACGACTGGCTGAGAACGCATTCAAACAAGTCTCCACGCTTAAACTTTTCTTTGGCCTTGGCCACCTACACAAAGGGGTGGTTAAAAAAACAAAACAAAACAAAAACAAAAGTGCCAGTGAGCGCGCGGGCACCTTGGTACGACATCAACCTGTGTGCAGATGACATGGCGGTGCTTCTGACCTTGGTCGCGTATTGGCCGGGTTCGTGATCCTGAGAGCGTTCCAGCTCGTCTGCGTACTGCACAACCGTCTTGGGCCCGGTTCGCGGCAGTCCCTGGGTGGACTTGCCATCCCACTGCCGAGTTGCAAAAGTATGCATCGATGTCAGTCACAGAGTTGCACTCATCATGATTAAAAAAAAAAATAAAACATTATCAACCAAACATGAAATCATGCATAAAAAATATGTGAGCTTACAGCAAAGTCGTAAGAGTAGACAAAGGCCAGGTCTTCACGGGGATCCCAAACAACAACTTCGTCGGGGATGTAGAGCACAATGTCGCGCTGGTGTGCAGGACGGGTCATGCGCAATTTGGTCGGCTCAAACTGGAATGTGAGATCGTATCCAAAGGCGCCATACAAGCCGAGCACGGCATCGGCTGGGCTGTGAAAGGCCTAAAGGAGTGTGTGGAGTGGTGTGCAGTCCGGCCAGTGAGAATGAAAAAGCCGAGCGCTTAATGATACGGGGTGTGCGGACAAGAGCGGGATGGGAGAGCACAAAAACCAAGGGTTGGGGGATGGGGGCTAGGGGTTTGTGAGTGGCTGGGTCACATACGTTGGCAATGGCGCGCACGACCGTAAAGATGCTGGGCTGGCGACTGCGCTCTTCCTCGAGAAAGCGGCGATCGGGACGGGCGACGCGGCCCTGTAAAAAGTCGCTTTCCACAGTGAGGTTGTCGATGTATTGCGTCTGCTCGAGTTCTCGGCGAATGGCGGGGAGGAGGATTTGGCCACGATCGTTGAGAGCGGTGAGCTGGAAGGCGTATTCACGGCTCGTGAGCATGAGGGGTGGGTTACGAAAGCCCTTCATCCACTTGTGGTAGCGCCCCGGTTGCTCGTAGTCAGAGAGAACCATGCAGCCGAGGTTGGCGTCCAGATCCTGGCTGAGATCGGTGATGGCTGCTTCGACGTCGGTGAGCGGGGTCGTGATCCGGGTTACTTCGATG